TTTTGTAAAAACAATTGTACGATTTGATCGACGGGAAAATCGGTCGTTTTCCACAAATTTTCCAACATGACCGATAATCCAAAAGTGGAGAAAAACGCGAAAAAAACGGCCAACGAATTAACCCGCTAACGGTGCGAAAATCGGTCGATTAATCTTTGACAAAAAATTGGCCGATTTTCGACCCATCTATGGCCGGCATTAGTCTAGGTTCACACCTAAGCGTTTTCTGCTGCGTTTTGCGGAAACGCACAGCAGTCCATTTAACATGATTTCCTATGGGACAGGTTCACATCTCCATGTTTTCACCCGATGCGTTTTTTGGAAAGGGTCAGGGACTTTTTTGAAACGCAAAATGTTGCATTTTTGGTTCCATAGACTTCAATGGAGACGCTGCAGAAAAGCACGTAGTGCATTTTTGATGCGTTTTGCATTTTAATCTGCACAGCAAAAAAAAAAAAAGCAAAAACGCATCAAAAACGCAAAGCACACCACAAAACACACTGCAGAAACGGATGAAAGCACACTGCACAGGCGTGAACCTAGCCAGACACAGATTGGGAGGTGAATGAGCTCTGGTGCCCAATCCATGACCGGCCCGCCCCCTCTGTGCAGCTTCCGGGCTATTGGGCACCAGCTAGATGGCAGAGTGACGGTGGGGTGTCGGGTGATGGAGCACCCCCTGTGTATCAGCACTGAAGGGAAGAGCGACCTCCATCCACAGTATAAGTAGAGTGCCAGGCTGGGGGGAGGGGGAGGGCAGTAGTGTGATCAGGTGAGTAGTCATCAACAAGGGAGGGGGGAGTTGAAGTTCACTGCCATGACCACCAATGCGTGGCAGGGGAGTTTGATTTGGGGGGGGATGAACTTTCATTGCCACTGACCAAAGGGGTCACAGAGGGTGGGGTGATATGGTCAGGAAAATGGCAGGGGGCAGAAGGGAGTCATAATGAAAAGTAATTGGGGAGGGGTGATGTGATGAAATTAAATATTAGGTGGAGGTGGTGTGTGATATGAAGTGGGGGTAATGGGGGAGGGGGTCACAAAATGGGGGATAATTGGGAAGATGTATTACAATGGGGAGGATCAAAGAGGGCAGGAAACTAGGGGGGGTTCATATGAGTAACTGGGGAGGGGTGATGTGATGAGGGGGTGGAAGAATAAAGGGGGGGGGGGGTATGTTGTTATACAAGGGACATGATGAGTGCGTATTGAGAAGGGGTGATGGGGGAAAGAAGATATGATGGGGGATGACATGATGGGGGGGGGGGGGTGATATTATGAGGAGGTGATGGAGGGTGGTGATGGGCAGCACAGTGGCTAAATGGTTAGCACTTCCACCTGGCAGTACTAGGGTCATTGGCTCGAATCCCAACCATGGCACCACCTGCCTGGAGTTTGCATGTTCTCCCTGTGCCTGCGTGGGTTTCCTCCGGGTACTCCGGTTTCCTCCCACACTCCAAAGACATGCTGGTAGGTTAATTGGCTCCTGTCTAAATTGTCCCTAGTATGTGTATGTATGAATGTGAGTTAGGGACCTTAGATTGTACGCCCCTTGAGGGTCAGGGACTGATGTGAATGTACAATATGTATGTAAAGCGCTGAGTAAATGGATGGTGCTATATAAGTACCTGAAATAGATAAATATGGTGAGGAGGTTATTGGGGGGGCTGTGGTGATATGGTGAAGAGGTGATGGGGAGGGGTGACATGGTGATACGAGGGGGTGGTGCGGATGATATGGTGGAGGAGAGGTGATATGGTGAATGGGGATGATATGGTGGAGGATGGGGGGGGGGGGGGTAATATGGTGAGGGGTTGATGGGGGGAAAGGAGATATGATGGGGGATGAAATTATGGAGGGTGATGGGGGAGGGGTGACATTGTGAGGAGGGGTGATATGAGGGGGTGGTGGGAGTGATATGGGGAGAAGGGGGGGGGGGTGATGCGGTGAGGGGGGGGGGGTGATGCGGTGAGGGGGGTGGGGTGTGGCGGCGTGATGCGGTGGGTGAGGGGGGTGGTGGCGGCGTGATGCGGTGAGGGGGGGTGGTGGCGGCGTGATGCGGTGAGGGGGGTGGTGGCGGCGTGATGCGGTGAGGGGGGGTGGTGGCGGCGTGATGCGGTGAGGGGGGTGGTGGCGGCGTGATGCGGTGAGGGGGGGTGGTGGCGGCGTGATGCGGCGTGAGGATGCGGTGAGGGGGGTGGTGGCGGCGTGATGCGGTGAGGGGGGTGGTGGCGGCGGCAGGGTGATACGGTGAGGAGGGTGGTGGCGGCGGCGGGGTGATACGGAGAGGGTATTGGTGGTGGCGGCGGCGGCGGCGGGGTGATACGGTGAGGGTGGTGGCGGCGGCGGGGGGGTGATACGGTGAGGGGGGTGGTGGGCGGCGGCGGCGGGGTGATACGGTGAGGGGGGTGGTGGCGGCGGCGGGATGATACGGTGAGGGGGGTGGTGGCGGCGGCGGGATGATACGGTGAGGGGGGGTGGGTGGCGGCGGCAGGGTGATACGGTGAGGGGGGTGGTGGCGGCGGCGGGGTGATACGGTGAGGGGGGGTGGTGGGGGGTGATACGGTGAGGGGGGGTGGTGGGGTGATACGGTGAGGGGGGTGGTGGCGGCGGCAGGGTGATACAGTGAGGAGGGTGGTGGGCGGCGGCGGGGTGATACAGTGAGGAGGGTGGTGGCGGCGGCGGGGGGATACAGTGAGGAGGGTGGTGGTGGTGGCGGCAGCGGGGTGATACGGTGAGGGGGGGGTGGTGGCGGCGGCAGGGTGATACAGTGAGGAGGGTGGTGGCGGCGGCGGGGTGATACAGTGAGGAGGGTGGTGGCGGCGGCGGGGTGATACGGAGAGGGTATTGGTGGTGGCGGCAGCGGGGTGATACGGAGAGGGGGGGGGTGGTAGCGGCGGCGGGGTGATACGGAGAGGGGGGGGGGGGTGGCGGCGGCGGGGTGATACGGTGAGGGGGGGTGGTGGTGGGGTGATACGGTGAGGGGGGGGTGGTGGGTGGTGGGGGGTGATACGGTGAGGGGGGGGGGGGTGGGGTGATACGGTGGGGGGTGATACGGTGAGGGGGGGGGGGGGGGTGATACGGTGAGGGGGGGGGGGGTGGGGTGATACGGTGAGGGGGGGGTGATACGGTGGGGGGGGGGTGGGTGATACGGTGAGGGGGGGGGGGGGGGGTGGTGGGGTGATACGGTGAGGGAGGGGGTGGTGGTGGGGATGATACGGTGAGATATGGTGAGGGGGGGGGGGGTGGTGGTGGGGTGATACGGTGAGGGGGGGGGGGGGGGGGGTGGGGTGGGTGAGGGGGGGGGTGGTGGCGGGGGGGTGATGTGGTGGTGAGGGGGGTGATGAAATGAGGGGGTGTTGGTGGGGTGATATGGTTAGGGGGGGTGTTGGTGGGGTGATATGGTGAGGGTTGGGGGGTGATGGTATGAAGGGGTGTTGGTGGGGTGATATGGTGAGGGTGGGGTGATGATATGAGGGGGTGTTGGTGGGGTGATAATATGAGGGGGTGTTGGTGGGGTGATATGAGGGGGTGTTGGTGGGGTGATGATATGAGGGGGGTGTTGGGGGGGTGATGATATGAGGGGGAGTTGGTGGGGTGATGATATGAGGGGGAGTTGGTGTTGGGTGGGTGATGTGGTGAGGGGGGGTGTTGGTTGGTGGGGTGATATGAGGGGGTGTTGGTGGGGGTGATATGAGGGGGGGGGGTTGGTGGGGGGATATGAGGGGGGGGTGTTGGGGGGGGCGATATGAGGGGGTGTTTTTGGGGGTGATATGAAGGGGGTGTTGGGGGGGGTGATATGAGGGGGGGTGATGATATGAGGGGATGATATGAGGGGGTGTTGGTGGGGGTGATGTGGTGAGGGGGGTGTTGGTGGGGGGGATATGAGGGGGGGGGTTGGGGGGGGAGATATGGTGAGGGGGGTGATGATATGAGGGGGTGTTGGTGGGGTGATATGGTGAGGGGGGTGATGATATGAGGGGGTGTTGGTGGGGTGATTGGTGAGGGGGGGGTTGGGGGTGGGGGGTGATATGGTGAGGGGGGGGTGTTGGTGGGGTGATATGGTGAGGGGGGGGTGTTGGTGGGGTGATATGGTGATATGGGGGGGGGGTGTTGGTGGGGTGATATGGTGAGGGGGGGGGGGTGTGATATGAGAGGTGTTGGTGGGGTGATATGAGGGGGTGTTGGTGGGGTGATATGGTGAGGGGGGGTGATGATATGAGGGGGGGGGTGTTGGGGGGGTGATATGGTGAGGGGGGGTGTGTTGGTGGGGTGATATGGTGAGGGGAGGGGGGTGTTGGTGGGGTTAGGTGATATGAGAGGTGTTGGTGGGGTGATATGAGGGGGTGTTTGGTGGGGTGTCTCCTCACCTGTCCCACAATACTCCCTGACCGAATACATCACGCCCATCGCTAGATTTTCCGCATGCGCGGTAGGTACCGCAGGCTGCAAGTCTTCCTGGCGCCACATGTGGCCGAGGTTTGTTCCTCTGGCCTGTGTCTGTGTATCGAGGTGCTTACTGCGATTAGTGAAGGAAATGATGGCTGAGTCTGGATTTTAGGAAAGTGTTTGCAGCTCTAAATAAACATTTACAAATGAATGAGTTGTGGAACCTGCCAGCTGTTGTGCTTCATGTCAATGAGAGTACACATTGGAGGTTCCCCGCCACAGACTTCAATCTCCTGCATGGCACCTGCCCTTCATCAGAGTCATGCATTGCCATGATGTCGGCAAGCCAGGCACCGTGATAATAGCATGAATGACTCCACGTGTCCTGGCCTTAGAATGCCATCAATTGTTACGGTTCTCATGGCTGACCCACCTGGTCCATGGCCATTTATGAAGAAGATCCAGGCTAAACTGTCCTCACCGCCCCCCTGGGGGAACTGGGATGGCACCCCACGTTGCCGGGCACCCTGGTTGGGAAGCACTGCTCTACCAATCTCAAGTCTGTGTGTGTGTCTGCAATTCTAGGACCATCTTCTACAGCACATTCCCACTCTCCAGTCACATCCCATCTACTGTAACATGTCCACAGCCTTGATCAGTCAGATGTAGCATATCTACCGCCTCTGACTGTCTCCTGTAGCATGTGTCTACTCTCTATCAGTTCAATGTTGCATGTCTGAAGACATCTCCTGTAGTCTCTGACCATCTCCTGTAGTATGTCTGAAGTCATTGACCCTCTCTTGTACCATGTCTGCAATCTCTGACCATCTCCTGTAGTATGTCTGCAGACTCTGTACAGCTCCTGTAACATGTCCTCAGTCTCTGACCATCTCCTGTACCATGTCTGCAATCTCTGACCATCTCCTGTAGTATGTCTGCAATCTCTGACCCTCGCCTGTAGTATGTCTGCAGACTCTGTACAGCTCCTGTAACATGTCCTCAGTCTCTGACCATCTCCTGTACCATGTCTGCAATCTCTGACCATCTCCTGTAGCATGTCCTCAGTCTCTGATCATCCCCTGTAGTATGTCTGCAATCTATGGCCCTCTCCTGTAGTTTGTCTGCAGTCATTGACCATCTCCTGTAGCATGTCCTCAGTCTCTGACCATCCCCTGTAGTATATCTGCAATCTCTGACCATCTCCTATAGTATGTCAGCAATCTCTGACCATCTCCCGTAGCATGTCTGCAATCTCTGACCATCTCCTGTAGCGTGTCCTCAGTCTCTGATCATCCACTGTAGCGTGTCTGCAGTCTCTGACCCTCTCCCATACCGTGTCTGCAATCTCTGACCGTCTCCCGTAGCGTCTGCAATCTCTGACCATCTCCCGTAGCACGTCCTCAGTCTTTGATCATCCCCTGTAGTATGTCTGCAATCTATGACCCTCTCCTGTAGTTGAGAGATGGTCAGAGATTGCAGACATACTACAGGGGAACACCTGTGCAATAAGTCCATCCGTGACATTTCCTGGCTACTAAATATTCCACGCTCAACTGTTAGTGGGATAACAAGGTGGAAGCAACTGGGAACAACAGCAACTCAGCCACCAAGTGGTAGGCCACATGACAGGGCGGGGTCAGCGCATGCTGAAGCGCACAGTGCGCAGAAGTCGCCAACTGTCTGCAGAGTCAATAGCTTAAGACCTCCAAACTTGGTGTGGCCTTCAGATTAGCACAACAACAGTGTGTAGAGAGCTTCATGGAATGGGTTTCCATGGCCGAGCAGCTGCATCCAATCCTTACATCACCAAGTGCAATGCAAAGCATCGGATGCAGTGCTGTAAAGCACGCCGCCACTGGACTCTAGAGCAGTGGAGACGTGTTCTATGGCGTGATGAATCACGCTTCTCTGGCAATCCAATGGACGTGTCTGGGTTTGGCGGTTGCCAGAATGGTACTTGCCTGACTGCATTGTGTTAAATGTAAAGTTTGGTGGAGGGGGGATTATGGTGTGGGGTTGTTTTTCAGGGGTTGGACTTGGCCCCCTAGTTCCAGTGAAGAGAACTCTTAAGGCATCAGCATACCAAGACATTTTGGACAATTTCATGCTCCCAACTTTGTGGGAAGAGTTTGGGGATGGCCCCTTCCTGTTCCAAAATGACTGCACACCAGTGCACAAAGCAAGGTCCATAAAGACATAGAGGAGCCAGTTTGGGGTGGAGGAACTTGACTGGCCTGCACAGAGTCCTGACCTCAACCCCATAGAACACCTTTGAGATGAATTAGAGCGGAGACTGCGAGCCAGGCCTCCTCCCCCGACATCAGTGCCTGACCTGACAAATGTGCTTCTGGAAGAATGGTCCAACCTTCCCATAGACACCCTCCTAAACCTTGTGGACGGCCTTCCCAGAAGAGTTGAAGCTGTTATAGCTGCAAAGGGCGGGGCCAACTCAATATTGAACCCTACAGACTAATGCAGACCATAGATCAGGGGTGGGCAAACTTTTTGACTTGAGGGCCGCAATGGGTTCATATATTGGACCCGGGGGCCGGACCAAGAGTAGATGAATGATGTGTATGTGTCATCCATAGTAAGTATAGTAATATTCCCCCATAGTAAGCATAGTAATTCATCCCCCATATAGTAATTCATTCCCCATATTAATTCATCCCCCATATAGTAATTCATCCCCCATAGTAATTAATCCCCCCCATAGTAATTCATTCCCCATATTAATTCATCCCCCATATTAAGTCCCCCCTGTGTCAATTCACTTACCTTTGCTCCGCACGTTCCTCTCGCCGTGTTCTCGCGCCGTACCGGTCTTCAGGGCGGACTGTGAGAGGAGCCTAGCTCCCCTCACGTTCCTCACGCTGCCCCGCCTACACACATCCTGACAGCCAATGTTTGCCACGCTCCACGGGCCGGATTAAAAGGTCCGCCGGGCCGTAGTTTGCCCATTGCTGCCATAGATGGTACGAAATTATTCAGATTTTTCGCTCGATAAACGAAATATCGGTCCGACGTAACCACTAATGATTACTAAACTCGGCCGATTAAGCCGTGAAAATCATAACCTGTAACAGGAAATGATGTAATTTTGTGACCTTTGTTACCCTCCCACAGTCTACGGAGCCTGCCGGAAGGAGAAATTTTCGTAAAAAACAATCGTACAGTTTGACCATCAATGAGGAGAAAATTGGCCGTTTTCCGAAAATTTCCCAACATGACCGATAAACCAAAAGAGAAAAAAAACTCGAAACACAGGCAACGAACTAACCCACACATGGTACGAAAATCGGACGATTTTTCTTTCGGCCGGAAAAACGGCCGGTTTTCGACCCATCTATGGCCTGCATAAGGCTACGTTCACACTAGCTCTGTCAGCAGGCATCAGACAGGCAATGGAGAAGCGGTTACGCCTCTGAAAATTCTGCACATGGCAGCACACAGTGATGTTCACACGGAAGCGTTAGCGTCACGGCGAAACGAACGCCTCTGGTCAAGTCAGGAGGAGTTGAAGCCCATTCAAGTCTATGGTGCCGCCTGGCCAGCGTTTGCAGAGCATTAATACCATTTAAACTTCATTATAGGAGTTTGTGGTGCGGTTTTAACGCTTGGCAAATGCCTACCAACCACCGCATAACCGCGCATAGGGCGTTTTTGGAGCGTTAAAAACGCTTCACAAACGCCTAACGCTTGTCAAAGGGGCGTTTGAGAAGTTAGAAATAAAGTCAAGTGTGAACGAACCCTAAGACTGGGATGCCATTATACTTCATGTGCGTGGAAAGGCAGGCGTCTCAATACTTTTGGCAATATAGTGTATATAAAGTATGTGAACTCCAATGCAAAACAGAGAGATGTGCACTGACGTGATAGAAACAATTGTGAACAATCCATGTATATAAACTCCAAAACAGCCCAGAAAAACAAGTGTAACAAATCCAGCTTTAAGATTACTATTCAATGTCTAAAGATGTTCCCAACCCAAAAAGAGAAGTTGCTCTGAGGGCGCTTCCAAACCACTTACCAGAACCACCCGTATAAGAATGATCACAACAGGCTTGAAATCAAGAGACCCTTGCCTCCAGTAGATGTCAGATAGAAAATCCGTTCAACTCAACAGTAAGATAGTCAAAAGAAAGGAAGAAGCTCTGTAGAGCAGTAATTTGTCAAACCATTTGATTTATTAGAAGCAAAAATATACACACATACATTTAAAAGTAGATGCTGTACCATCACAATATATGAGAACCTCACAGAAGAGAATTCTCATAGATCAGCTGATGTGCGTGATGACGTCAGAATGTCCTGGTCATGCCTACGCATTTCATCAGAAAATGTCATCATCGGGGGCTCAGTCACTTGATTTCAAGGCTGCCGTGATCATTCCTATACATATGGTTTTATTAGTTCGGGTAAGTGGTTTAGAAGTACCCTCAGAGCAACTTATTTTAGGTTGCGAAGATCCTTGGGCATAGAATGCTCACCTTAAAGAGTGCTGGATTTGTTACACTTTATTATTATTATTATACAGGATTTATATAGCGCCAACGGTTTGCTCAGCGCTTTACATTATAGTGGGAGACAATACAGCAACAATACAAGAGGGAATTGAGGGCCCTGCTCCTTGCAGCTTACAATCTAGGAGAGAGGGGTGAATGGTACAATAGATAAAAACTGTGGGAGATGGAGTGGTTGGAAGAGGATTCCAGTATTAGCAGAGGGCGGGATAGGCCTCCCTGAAGAGAGAGGTTTTCAGTGATCGCCTAAAGGGAAGTAGAGTAGGTGATAGTCTGATAGATTGGGGTACGGAGTTCCAGAGGATGGCTGACGCCCTGGAGAAGTCTTGGAGACTAGCATGGGAGGAGGTGATAAGGGAGCAAGAGAGTAGGAGGTCTTGTGAGGAGCGGAGAGTATGGGTTGGGTGATATTTAGAGATAAGATCGGTTATGTAAATTGGGGCAGTGTTGTGGATGGCTTTGTCTGTCATAGTGTTTTGAATTTTATCTGTTGGTCAACTGGGAGCCAGTGGAGGGGTTGGCAGATACAGAACGGTTAGTGAGGTGGATGAGTGATGATAGACTGGAGGGGGGGATAGCCTGCGATGGGGTAGGCCAATGAGGAGGGAGTTACACTTGTTTCTTGGCGGTTTTGCGCTTATATGCCCAGTTTGTTTAAATACATATTACACTATATAGGTCATTTTCTTTATGTCTGTCGCGCTTTTACCTGTGGATCGTTGCTGAGAGAGAAGCGGATTCTTCCCCAACTGAAACATTTATTACTACTGAGCATTTTATTACTTCTCATAAAAAAAGAGGGTCATAATTTTTCAGTAAGCGGCGTAGCTCATCATTGCAAGTGATACAATGAAGATTCACAGCACAGAAAGAATTTAATTTATTTTTAATGTTGGCCGGACCTTAATTCTCCACCTTTTTTTTTTATTATTATTACATCGAGTTTATATAGCGCCAAAGGGTTTACTCAGCGCTGTACAATAGGGGGGGGGACACAATACAAGAAACAGTACAGCAACTACAACGTACAACTAGTACGCGAGGGGTTAGAGGGCCCTACTCTTTCGAGCTTACAATCTAGGAGGGAGGGGGTAGTGGCACAGGAGGAAGTGGCTGCGGGGGATGGAGTGGTAGGAGGAATGAAGGAGAACGGCTGTTAGGTGAGGGAGGGGTAGGCTTCCCTGAAGAGGTGGGTTTCAGGGAGCACCTGAAGATGAGGAGGGAAGGTGACAGTCTGATGGATTGGGGTAGTGAGTTCCAGAGGATGGGAGAGGACCTGGAGAAGTCTTGCAGTCGTGCGCGGGAGCAGGAGACCCGAGAGCAAGATAGAAGGAGGTCCTGTGAGGAGCGAAGGGTACGGGTATGGTGGTACTTGGGAATCAGGTTGGTGAGGTAGTTAGGGGCAGTGTTGTGAATGGCTTTTTATAAA